TTTATGGTACATGGTAATGTTGCTTGGGATGGTGGGTGGTGATGGTGTTCTTGGTTGGTGGCAATGTTGGCGTTGGTAGGTGCTGATGGTAGAAGTAATGTTCAGTGGCAAGTGCTTAAAATTTTTGATGTTGGTAGATGGTAATGTCGCAAGGAGTTGTTGTTGGTGATGATGATGATGTTGGTAGATGGTATAACATTGCATGGGGTTGGCAGGTGGTGATGGTGTTGTTGGAAGATGGTAAARTTTGTGTGTTGGTAGGTTGTGGTGGTGCTGTCTGATGGTGGTAATGTTAGATTGCGTGACGACCCTTTGAGAACCTCAGCTCAGGGGCGGATCCAGGATTTTGTTCAGGGAGGGGTGCTGCGCACAATGTTAACCCTGGGAGGGGTGCACCCCTTAGAGCCAAAGCCAAAAAACAAAATTGGTTATCTTCGAAGTAGGAGCACAAAGTGTAACCAGGAAGGGGTGCGCACCCCCTGCACCCCTCCCCTGGATCCGCCCCTGTCAGCTAGCGCCGGTGGTGTAGAAGGCTAGCTCAGTGTCGGTTGTTTTAATAATCAATAATAGCGATGTTCAATGGCACTTGATGGTGGTGGTACTGATGGTGATCGAGTGGTGCGGGATATCCTTCTGAAAACCAGCTATAATGGCTAATCGGTTGCCCACTAATTTAAATATCACATATCATAATTTACAGCCGGAAAAGTAAATTCCAGTTAAATAGGAAGATAAACTAAAGTTTGTCGCATATAACGGCAGGACAAACATGACAACAGGATCTATGGATGTTAAATCGGGCTAAAACTGCTCTTTTTAAAGTCTATTCAGAATCTACTCTACTCTATTATTAAACTATGCTTTAAAGGATAATGCCTGGAAAACTAGGTGAAAATTTGTGACGAAACAATTAAAAGGAAAGTCCAAAGAATCTGAAGAAAATTTGCACTAACTAAATAAAAACATCAGATGCAGTTTAGGCCTTATTTAATGTTTCGTTTTTTAATTCAGACACCGGAAGCGGATAAAAAGAATATTGCCGCACGGTTGATTTTTTTGAACAGTACTGAAAGATATCTCGCCAAATGTTATTTCTGCATTTGGAATTTTTGTTTGTAATCAAAAATTAGTATGGAATGGAACGAAAGAAAGAAAAAGGAGCCGCACAGAATCCTTCTTTGCTTGGCGCGTGCAGATCAAAATAATTCATGGGCCCTTGGAAATGATAAAAGCGGGAAGGAATACTTTTCAGCAGAGTTATGACTGAATTGAGCTTATACATTTACCTTTCGTGCTGCATGACCATGCACGTTGGACTGCCAACCGTCCTTTGATGCCTGCCCTCGATGACAGGAAGCAAGATTTCTGACTCACGTTGTCCCCCATTGCTAGTAACCACACCTTTTTACTTTTCAATTTTCAAGTTATTGCCAGCCTGCAGAGGTTTTTGAATTCAGATATCAACTCGGTCTAAGCGCAGTTTTGTAAATGATAACAGATCAAAGGTCGACATTATTAAACGTAGATTACGATAGCAAGATAAAGTTTGCAAAGATCGACCTCCCTCGGGGCTTTAATGGTGAGACCGAATGYCGTCTCGAAAATTCCACAATATTTCCCCCGATTTTTACATACCCACTGCCGAGTGCCAATCATCAGTGTCTAAAATGTCGTTCAACACTAGACGATAATATTGGACATAAGAGTAAACTAATTCCTTTGCCACATTGATAATATATGATATTAGGGTAGCTTCGTTGCCCCCCCCCCCCCCCCCCCCCCCCCCCCCCCCCCC